GTCTTAGAGATAAATGAAACTATGGTCTTATTTCCAGAGAACCACTTATGTTACCTGAGAGGAGACAGAGTACTCTGGATGTGTGGATTCTCCTGACCCCGATTTTCTCCACTTGCCCATTAACACAGATTAGTTTACTGTTCACATTGCCCCCTAGACATTAGGCATAGACAACATGAGCAAGTGAACTGTAACAGAAACAAGGCTTTGATGAGAACGGGAAGTGGGCTAGGGGTAGGGCAGAGTAAAGGAATAGCATAGGGCATCCAGCCAGAAAAAACAGGCTCTGATGTACATACGGAGTCCATATTTTCCAAACCAAAACTCGTGACACATAGCTTGACAAGTATGATTGTGCTTATGGGAACAACAGGACAGAATATTTACAACCCAGAGTTGCACTGGAAAATCTAGGATATATAAACACTACATCCATAAAGGCATTGAAAGTGGGAAGGCTAACATAACCTACTTTAGAATTCTGCAAGTGCTGGCCCACACATGTGAAAGCCCATGTGTTAAGTTGCCCTAGTCTCTATTTATTTCTATCACAAACACATTACATATTTTTGACACACTTAGGGTCTCTATTCCAAAGACTTGCCTTAAGAACAGCAGGTGACATCTGAATGAAATAGATGTTTACAGTTGAGTAAAAAAGCACGCATCATGTCGGATTACATTGTTTGCCAAACTAGCCTGCCCAGGCCTTACAGGAGTACTATATTCACCCGGAGACTTTAATGTAATGCAAAAGATAAAGTATCTCAGTAAGCCTGTGGACTCTTGCACACAACTTTCAGGTTAGGATCCACAGGTTTACAGAAAGAAAGAAAATTAATCAAGTCAAATGTGTGCCATTTTTTCTTTCCATTTAATTTCTTGCATGTGAGAGCCATTGTTTCCTATAAGACCCCCCTCGAAAATACTTTAGTGAAAGCTTCTTGTAGAAAGGAAAACAAAGGTCAGTAACCTAATATCCCCAAGCAACCCTATAAAAACAAACCAGGGAGGGAAAAAAAAGTGAAGAAATGCTCTGACTGGGAAAAAGATCTTCATTTGTTTATTCTTTCAACAGTGAATAAAAGTTATGATTTTGCCAATAACTATAAATTGATAGTGCTTCCAACTTTTAAAGAATATATAAGGAAACCACGTAAAAGATCAGAGCAATCTTTTACGTGAGGTCAGAAGCTTTTTAAGGACTGGAAATATATCAAATACAATACGTCAAATTTGTCATGACACCTTACAAATTGACATCTGGGAAAATGTCTCAGAGATGATCTAACAGAGGGAAATCTCCTCTCTTTCAGATGAGGAAACTGAGGCACAGCAGCACGTCCAAGGTTACCTGATTGGCTGTAACTGAGTCAGGACAAAACCCTGTCTCCTGCAGAGTTTACAGACAAGTTTACTCATCTGTAAAATGACAGGGCCGAACTCTGAGGTCAATGCCAACCATAACATCCTGCAATGCTATATTGATTGATTGCTTTGTAATCTACTTATTTGTATTTTGGCTCTTAAATAAAGGTAAAGCTGCCAGTTTGACATATTTCTAGCCCTTAGAAAGCTGACCTGACAGTAAAGCCCTTCCAAAACATTTATAGAGACAACGTTATGAACAATTTGCAGAATTTCATAAGGTGACACATTTCGAAGCACAGTGCAGTTACAGGCAGTCTGCATGGATGCATGCGAGGGAGGTATTATTTTTTTTAATTTTCAAGATGTCACTGCCAAGGGAGACATATGCCAAATGGTAACATCGGCTTCTACTTTAAAAAAAAAAAAAAAACCTCTAAAAAAGGCATGAAGAGTAATGAAAAAACATGACAAGAAGAAGAATGAAACATCTAAAGCAGATATTGGGAATAAGAAAATATATGGATTAACTACTTGGTGTTTAGAGGCATCTGATGTCTCTGCCTTTCCATTATACCTGCCTCCAAAACATAGCCATGCTGAGGTTTCCCAATATTTAACAAACTAGCATAAATCCTGGAAAAAATACTCTAAAACCAGAGTATATAAATCAGAATATAAAATTGAAATGTATTTAAAAATCTTCTATTCCAGTTATGATTTTTTTTTGTTTCTCTTTATTGTGGATTCTTACCAGCATTTCATTTAGTGCTAAGGTAGATTTCATGCAGTGAGATAAAAGATAGCTTCATGACATAAACATTAAATGAACAAATAAATGGCCAAACTGTTAAAAGCAGGGGTAGCCAGGTAATTACTATATTTTAAAAAATCGTCCAGTCATATGTAGGATATTTTACATATATTATAGGTAAGATGATTAAAAACACAATAAGCCTGTAATCCCAGAATTTTGGGAGGCTGAGACAGGCAGATCACCCAAGCTAAGGAGTTCAAGACCAGCCAGGGCAACATGGCAAAACTCCGTGTCTACTAAAAACATAAAAATTAGCCAGGCACCGTGGCACATGCCTGTAGTCCCAGCTACTCTGGAGGCTGAGGCAGGAGAATTGCTTGAGCTTGGGAGGTGGAGGTTGCAGTGAGCTGAGATAGCACTATTGCACTCCAAAGTCAGATCCTGTCTCTAAATAAATAAGTAAATAAATAAATAAAAACACAATAAGCCAGTTGAACAGAACATTCTTTCTTTTATGGGTCACAGTGTGCCTTTTTCATAACATATAGAATTAGCCAAATTATCTATGCTACCAAAATTCTGATTGGAAGCAGCTAAGAAAGCAAAAGTACTTGGGAAAAATTTGTTGGGCAGTCTGGTTGTCTGGTTACCTGGCAAACTTCGCCATACTGTCGGATAACCAGGTAAACTTTTAGATCTCTAATGTATTTTCCCACATTGATAGGAGTACAGAAATTTTATAATTAAACAGACCTGGCTTTGAACTCATTGCTTATTAGTTGTTTGTTCTTGGGCAAATTACTTTTCTCAGGGATTATTTCATTGTCTGAAAAATTGGAATAATAATGTCTAACTCACTAAATTTTTAAATGATCAAATTAGATAGTGTCCAAAAACTAGCTGTCATGGTGTACAGCACACAGAAAGCATCCAATAAGTGGGGATAGTCATAGTAGCGGTAGTAAGAATAGGGATGGTCCTTATCTTTTCTTTGATTGACACATGCTGTTGTGAAATCAACATAGGTTTTGAGTTCAGAGAGTTTGGTTTGAAGCCAGACTCTACTCTCAGTGGTTAGATGCCAAGAGAATTTCTCTGGTTTCAATTTCTTCTTCTGCAAAATGAATACCATAACACCTGATTCTTAACTGCTATTATGAAAATTAAATGAGATAATATATGTTAGAGCTACATAGTGCCTGGCACAATGGGAGGGATAATAAAGAAATGTTCATTCCCAAAATTCCTTGTCCCCACAGTTCCCCACTCATGCCTCTTCATTCATTTAATGTACTGAGTCCTGGGCACCATGTCCTGGGAATAAAAATGTCCATGCTGGTTTCAAGAAAGGGATGAGAGGAGAAAGAGAGAGAGAAAGAGAGATTAAAGGATTTGGTGACAAATACTTCAAGAGAGATTTAAACCAGTGCTTGGGAACACAAAAGAGGAAAAAATAAAGCCTTCTTTTAGAGTCTTTAAAGATCTTAAAAATTAATTAGGCCAGCTGGGCACGGTGGCTCATGCCTCTAATCCCAGCACTTTGGGAGGCTGAGGCAGGCAGATCACCTGAGGTCAGGAGTTCGAGACCAGCCTGAGCAACATGAAGAAACCTGTCTCTACTAAAAATACAAAATTAGCCGGGCATGGTGGCACATGCCTGTAATCCCAGTTACTAGGGAGGCTGAGGCAGAAGAATCACGTGAACCTGAGAGGCAGAGGTTGTGGTGAGCCGAGATCACACCATTGCACTCCAGCCTGGGTAACAAGACTGAAACTCTGTCTCAAAAAATAATAATAATAATAATTAGGCCATTTAACCCACTAGGAATGTTATAACCAAAACATAAAACAAAACAAAACAGCAAATAACAAGTGTTGGCAAGCGGGTGGAGAAATTGGACCCACCCTGATTCTACATTACTGATGGGAATTAAAAAAAACATTGCAGCTACTGTGGAAAACAAGTTGGCAGTTTCTGAAAAAGTAAAACGTAGAATTAAGACCCAGCAATTCCACTCTAGGGTATATACCCAAAAGAAGTGACAGCAGGTGTTCAAACAAAAACTTGCACACAAATGTTCATAGCAGCACCGTTCCCAATTGCCAAAAGGTGGAAACAACCCAACTGCCCATCAACAGATGAGCGGACAGACAAAAGGTAGTCTATCTACACAATAGAACAGTAGGATAGTATTGAGCCATAAAAACGAAGGCAGTACTGAGGCATGATAAAACACTAATGAACTTTGAGAACATTGAGTTAAGTGAAAGAAGCTAGTCATAAAAGATCACATATTTTGTGATTCCATGTATGTAAAATGTCCAGAATAGGCAAATTTACAAAGGCAGAAGTAGATTAGTGGTTGATTGGAGCTGAAGGAGATGAAGGGATGGAAGAGGGGAGTTGTGACAGCTGAAGGGTAGAGTGTTTCTCTTTGTGATGATGAAAATATTCTAAAATTGTGTCAATGATTGTCCATGTATCTGTGAATATATTAAAAACCATTGACTTGTAGGCTTTGAATAGGTGAATTATAATGTATGTAAATTGTGTCTCACTAAAGCTGTTTTTGTTTAAATTTTTTTCAAAGTGAGAAAAAAAAAATGTCTTAGGAGCTTATGCAAACTCCTGCTAGATCCAGTATGGATAGTGACCATGAGTGCCACTCCAGTGGTAGAGCTGAAAACAAAACAGAACTGGGAGTGTGTCAGACAGAAAGGGAAAGAATGGAAAACCATGCACAAAGCCTAGGAGGCAGTGCTTGGCTTTCACATCCTCTATGACACTGAGACGTTGAGAGGAAGCTGGAACACAGGGAACATGTCAAGAGAACAAGGCTAGATATAAGCCACTACGGAGTTTGGAATCACTTACCCAGAATATAGGCAGGGCCCGGAAAGCAGGCTTCAGGATGACTCTGCCACTCACTGGGTACGATTGCAGGCAAATGATGTCATCGGATATACGTTCATGACATTATATAAATGGATATTCTCTGTAAAATGGGAATAAACACACCCATCTCACAAGACACTATAAAGATGAAATGAAGCAATACAGATAAAGCAAATAATGTAGAAACTGGCGAACAGTATGCAGTCAATAAATATTAGCTCTTTGAGCCTGTTGGAAGCCAAAAGAGTTTAAAATGAGAAATTTCCACTAATCAACAAAATGTTATAGTAGATGACAAAGGTTTCAAGCTTTTTGAACTTTTGAGTAATTTGTACACATTACCACTAATTTAACTTCCTCTGATCCATCAAGACATACACATGCTTTTTAAAAAAATTCTGCAGAGAAGTATAGTAAATGTCTCCTAGACTAATGATACTGGCCTCAGTAGCTTAAGCTTAGCCATAAAAATAATAAGTTTCTCTTGCCATGACGTTCTATTAAATATCCCAAACTTTATTCTAGGTATAAGCAATCCAATATTGGCAGAGCTAATTCAACCAAGAACACTCTATCCAGTAAATAAATTCTTAGAAGCCAAAATTTCCATTTACACCTGTAAACAGAAAATTTAATTTAATGCAAATTGTTAAATAATAAGACCAATGGGCAATGAACCATACTAAACACATCACATGAAATGGATCAGTCATGCAGCATGGTGACCAGAAAAAAAATTTATGTCATGTTCTACAGCTAAAAATAGTACATGTTTACACGCATTCATGCATACACACACACACACAGAACCAGGTGCTACCACAGAGGTGTAGCATGCATATAAAAAAATGCAGAAATCCCGAATGAAGGAAATGAAGGGATGGAAGAGGGGAGATGTGACAGCTAAAGGGTACAGTGTTTTTCTGTACATTCCTCTGTATTTAAAATCTTTTGGTCATCTTCCATGGTATCATCTAACCATAAAGAATGCTATTTTATACAATGCTTAGCAGAGCAGTTGTTAGGAAGAGGAGTCTTGCAAATTGCTTCACTGAAGCTAAAAATCATTAAGGAGTAGACTGAAGCATGTTCTTTATTGAGACCTCCTCCTCGAGAGAGAGTTCAGAAGTCACAGTCCACAAATTTAAAACTAACAAAATACCTACAGAGTTCTTCTAATTGTGAGACACACAAGACTACAATAACTCAGTGTAGTTCACATTTTTTCTATCATAGACTGGACAATAGATATGGCTTAGGCTTCAGAGATTTGGGGGAGCACTCAAGGTGCCAGATTCAGGATGTATCTTACTGTGTGTCTGGAAAGCAAGTACTTGAGAGAAAACGTTTGGAAGAAAATAGGTTTCATTTTCAAAACTTTTTCAGCTTTTCAAAATAAATAAATAAATACATAAATACATAAACCATCAAGTATCTGAGCTTGGAAACAATTTAAAAGAAAAAAAAAAAACGCATGGGTTGTATTTCTCCATAGTCACCAAGGTGGTGACACCCGAACATGGGCTTTTTGAACAACAAAACAAAATTCTTAATGCCGATGTAACACTTACAATGTTTGGGTTCCCAGGGTCTGAAGAGCATGCAGACCAAAAAGTCAATCACATTTCAGAGGCAAATTATTTGTATTTTTAAGTATGTGTTTGTACCTGGTTGCCTGGAGCCGAGCAGATTCACAAGACATGGGATTCCTGGAGCTAAAACCAGTAAAGTCCAGGGTGAGTAGAGGGCAAGTTGGTCACTCTTTGTGTTTATCAATAAAAGACTAGAACTGATGTATAATGTCAACACACACATCAGATCAACACATATATGTTGAAATAATTTTAAAATAATGCCTTTCAAAAAATTAAAATGCAAAATATTCAGCTAAATTAAACATTAATTATCAGTTCTCCCTAGGATTCTTTAATTATTTCCACTTCCTTGATGCCAATCAAATTAAAGGAAGTTTTCAGGTGTATTTTTTAATCAGGACCCAGAGTCTACCTAAGAACTCACCCCAAGTTCATTGACCCACCACCATTTGGAAAGGTGTTTAAAAATAAATTTTAATGTAAAATCATTTCTATACTGATTCTTCTTTTAATAATTCATATCAAATTTGCATTAACCTGCAACATTAATAGGATTAAGGAAATACAAATATAATCTGGAATATGGCTTTAACCCAACCTAAATAAAAACATCAGATCATCTTCTTTATTACATCAATTAGGCTTAGCATTTTCTCCTTGCTAAGAGATTTGCTAATAAGACTAATATCATAAAAGGAAGAAGAAAGTTTTTATATTTACCCACCTTAATCACTACCCTCCTACTTCTTCATATCTTTATGAAAAGTTGGAATACAGATTAGCAAAAGAACAGTTATTTCTTTCTATATTCACTGTAGGTATATTTGTTTTCTCAGTTAATTACTTCTAAATTTCTAATTATGTCTGCTGCAAATACTTTATTATAAAGTATTTCTACATAATTAATTAAGAAGTAGTGATAATATAGGACTGCTTCATCCAAAGATCTACAGGCATATGGGAAATGCTGTGAATTACCAAATAAGTCCATTGAGTGAAACATAAAGTAAAAATGAATTTAAGAGACAGCTAGACATGTTTATGTAGGCAAAAGGGGTTGGAAGATATGCTGACAACACAAAGAGGTGTGTTGCAATAAACTTGAAGGGGACAGGCCATTGGGCCAACCATCCCTTTTCTATCCAGGAATTCCTTATGTTCTCATTAGCGTCTCACATATGGACAGCTGCGTTATTAAAATTAGTCATAAATTTGAGTCAACGAAAGAGTCTGCTGTCTCCATTTTTTTTTCCTTTACATATTCAATACACAAACACATATATGCAAAAGTTTCAACTTTTGTTCAGGGAAGTATTTTATGTCCGGATGTCAGATTTTTGTGACTCATGGCCAAGGACGAGGGAAGGGTTTTGTGAACAAGCTTGATCTGATCATGTCCACCTCGGACAAGTACATGTTCATGGCACCTCACTTGCATAAATACAACATTTTAAACTGTCCTTTCAATGGTCACCTTTAGTACTGAGTCAGGCCTGAAGTTTCTATGGCAGAGTTTCTTTGGAGAGAAAATGTTCAAAGGGTTAGAGAAAAAGGTCAGTTCTTGCATTCCTTTATCTTTTCTCATATTTTGAAATATGCCATCAGAAAATATTTTGGAGAGGATTGGTTAGACGCCAAGAGTTTCACTGACCCTTTTAGTTGTTGCCATTTTACATTTCTTGCCTCAGGAACTGGTTGAGCTTTTGAACGCATTCACATTTAATTTATATGATGTGGGCATAATCTGCATCTGACTATAAATACCAAACACCTGCATTAGCACTTTACAACTAACAAGCACTTGGGTCCCCACTGTCTCATTTGCTCTAAATCACAAACCTATTAGGTTGGCGCTATTATCTTTTACTTATAGATTAGAAACTGAGGCCCAGAGAAGCTAAGTGACTTGGCCACATTTACTTGCTCAAGTGATAAGTGACCAAGTTAAAACTGGTGCTGCCTGGCTCAATCTTTATTAAAATACACCTGGGAACACGGATATGAGAGTGAATACATTTCCATTGTTATATGATTTTTTACAATAAAGTTGGGCAAAAAGATAAACAACGAGCTTATGTCTATTAGGCCCATTTCAAAACATCCCCAATCCAATCCATTACACAGTAAGAACGTAGGCACGTATGCTACTCAGCTCTTTTAAGAAAATAGTAAAGATGCCGGGCGCGGTGGCTCAAGCCTGTAATCCCAGCACTGTGGAAGGCCAAGGCAGGTGGATCAAGAGGTCAGGAGTTCAAGATCAGCCTGATCAATATGGTGAAAGCCCGTCTCTATTAAAAATACAAAAATTAGCTGGGCATGGTGGTGTGGGCCTGTAATCCCAGCTACTCAGGAGACTGAGGCAGGAGAATCGCTTGAACCCGGGAGGCAGAGGTTACAGTGAGCTGGAGCTGAGATTGCGCCACTGCACTCCAGCCTAGGCGACAGAGTGAGACTCCATCTCAAAAAAAAAAAAAAAAGGAAAGAAAAAGAAAACAGTAAAGACGACGCTGGGCATGGTGGCTCGTGCCTATAGTCCCAGCACTTTGGGAGGCCAAGGTGGGTGGATTGCTTGAGCCCAGGTCTTCAAGACCAGCTTGGGCATCATGGGGAAACTTGATCTCTACAAAAAATACAAAAACTAGCCGGGTGTGGTGGCACGTGCCTGTAGTCCCAGCTACTCCGGAGGCTAAGATGGGAGGATCTCTTGAGCCCGGAGAGTCAAAGTTGCAGTGAACTGTAATTGCACCACTGCACTCCAGCCTGCACAACAGAGTAAGACTCTATCTCAAACAAAAAGAAAAAGAAAAAATAGTAAAGATGATTAAGAAAAAAAATTAATATAGTCACTAGTTAATGACTTCTTTACAGTTCTGTTATCATTTTTTGTATTTTGGCTAGAAAAAATGGACAAATACTAGAGGCAATAAGTAAATCAAAATACTGAAGGTATTTGTTTATATTTATTTAAATTTTAAGCATCATACCTTTCACAGCAGAAACTCAGACCCTACCTACAATATATTTTAATGAGCTGACAATTACTGAAAATAGTATTCTCCCAACAAAAGTCAAATTCACATTCAAAAGCTATTAATAGCGTTTGTTGCCAACAGAAGCCTTATTCGATATTTGGGCGTAACAGAACTGGGATATGAACATGACAGAGAGAGGGGCAGTGGTGGCAGGAAGAGGGGGATGAGGAGTGAGAAAGAGACTGCTGCACTATACCTGACATCTAAGAAGATGTCAGGGACCCTAAAGCCCCTAAGGAGCAGCCCCAAACCCCCAATCCCTTCCGACATACTCATTGTATCTGCTGTGGGACCCATTTTACACTCTGATTCTCTCATGGAATTATGCCCTGGCCTGAACCCCACCCAGTTTGAGGCTGCTCCCCGGATAATCTGTCCAGCCCTTGCCAATCTTCTCCTATCAAGAGTTAGAGCCTGTTCATGAGAACCGCTCCCCCCCCCACCCCGCCCCACCACCCAGCTGATTGGGGTCC